GTCATCATTTCATATTTTGGCTTCTTTTCTGTTGCTGAGTCCTGCTCATATAAATATTAGTTTTACCACCAAACTCTGCAACTCCTTCGTTTCTGTTAGAATGATTTTTTTTGTTTAAAACACTTTGTCCGGAATTATTGATGGTCTTTTAACCTTATGTCTTCATTTCTTTAAACATCAGCTTACTAACTTGAAATATTCCTCAGGCAATTTGAAAGCTTTAATATAACTAAACACTTTCACTTTCTCTTCATCCATCGTTGTGGCTGAATAGTTAGGCTTGTCATTATTTTTGGTGAAACATGAAAGGTGGAGTTTCTTGGAAAAGGTGAGCTGTTTAATTATTAGATACTTAGGTTTTAAGATTGATCTGGTTCCTGTGATTGCATTTGATTAAGCTTGAATAGGTGCAGGGATTTATGGATCTAAGTGCCCTGTAGCAGCCTGAGGTAAAACTAGCTTATGCTCTGGCCCAGGGTTCATAGTTGCTGGTGTCTGGCAACTGATACTCAGTTAAAGCCCAGTTTGACTAAAAAGCAACTGGGATGGCTTTATGAACCTAATATAATTTTGGCTATACAGTGAGTTGATCTTTGCAGCCAAGGGGGAAATTTACATTTGCTAGCACATGACTGCAGTTGATCAGCATACCTGAGTAGCAACACACAGTGTGATGCCGTAAATATTTGTTAGGTCTGTGGTACCATGACCGAGTGAACTTTCTCTGCTGCTAGTTGTACTTATATACTACCTTGTATCTCTAAGGGTTACATTTAAGCAGTTCTGGAAGATCTTCAGAGAACTATAGATCATTCTTAGAGAATAAGCAGACTGTGAAACTTTCTATTGTTTCTCTTTACTCTTTCATTCTTAGCACGGAAATCAGAGTTCTGTACAGATTAGTTGCTTAATACATAAATAGCAAAATAAAATAGGTAATCTATTTAATTGATCTCTGATAATATTTTTTAAAATTCCATTTGTTTTATTTTTAATTGAACTACCATGGGATACACAGTTACGAAGTTGTTCATGATTGGGTTTCAGTCATACAATGATCTAATACCCATTCCCCCATGAGTGTACATTTCTGACCACCAATGTCCAGTTTCCCTCCCACCACATACCCTAGCCTTCCTCTATGCTTCTGTGGCAGACACTTTTATTTGCACTCTTTCCCTCTTTGTCTCTCTGTCTCTGTCTCTGTCTGTCTGTCTCTCTCTGTCTCTGTCTCTCTTTCTCCTCTCCCCACTTTTGGGCATTAGAATTTGAAATATAGGCCCCAAAAGATTGTCTTATATATCCCTTTACCTTCTTTCAGAACTCAGTTCTAGTCCAGAGTGATCATTTCCAACTGTCATTGTCATAGTTGTTCCTTCTCTCTCCTAGTTGCCCTCCCTTCCAAACCCCACTTGTGGCAAGTTTATTAGGGTCTCTCTTCCTTTGTGAGTCTTATTAGTTGTTTCTTGATCTTGTTTGGTTTTCAAAACACCAGTTCTTGGTTTCATTGATCTTCTGAATATTTTTGGTGGGGGATTCTACCTGTTAAACTTCTGCTCTAACATCAAAGTCAGCAAACCATAATCGAATTTTATCCCAAAACAATTGAAATGAAAACAACTAGAATCCTCTGTATCAGTGGTCTTCAACCACCAGTCCACAGACTGGTGCCTGTCTGAAGGTTTAGAAAGATTAAAAATCCCTTGTATATCACTTTGGTAATAAGTGCTGGTCTCTCGATCAATACGCAGGACAAGTGCCTGCTTATACATGTAAAACAGTTAAAGGACACTATCAGATGTCAGTGTATTTGAGGATTTACTTTCTTTCATAATTTATGGAATTACAAGAGATGTTTTTGTTTGTATCATTTTAGTATCATCTTTTCAATGATTCTTAGATTTTTAACTTGTGTTTTAAGATATTTAGGGGCTGACGTGATAGGATAGACGGTAGGGCACTTGCCTTGCACTCGGCCAACCTTGATTTAATTCCCAGCACTTCATGTGATCCACCAAGCCTCATCCGGAATGATCCCTGACTGCAGAGCTAGAAGTAAACCTGAGCACTGTCAGTTTTTTTTTAAGATGTAATACTTTTAAATAGATTTTTTTAAATTTTTAAAACATGTATTTATTGAATCACTGTGAGAACAGTTACAAAACTTTTAGGTTTAAGTCTTGGTCATACAGTGATCAAACACCCATCCCTTCACCAGTGCATCTTTTTCACCACCATGAACCCCAATATACCCCCATCCCACCGCTCCCCATGCCTGTGAGGCAGATGATTTCCACTTAACTTTCTCTCTACTTTGATTACACTCATTATTTAGACAAAAGATGAATCATTATTATTTGGAATTTCCCCCCAACAATCAAACCTGCTGAAAAGGCATCATAAAATAATTTGCTTTCTATTGCTGGCTATGAAGACCATATTGTGTCACATGGCCGCAATAGCAGCTGTGAGTTTTGGATTTCTGATATTTTACTAATTTAATCTGGAGGGATTTCCGCTAAAAGCTGCATAGTTCCAAGATTGGTTTGTGTGCCTCTGGGTCTATGGCCATGCCGGAGAGCCACACGTGGTGGTGGTGGGGGGCAACTCGTGGTCTCAGCAGGACAAGAATGACATGCCAGTTCTGCCCCCATCCCATGATGCCACAGTTGCCCCATCACTGCCAGCTCATAGCAAGCTGTCCAATAGGCTCTGAGGTAGTGGCCACTGTGCTGCTGGGCGGGGGGGGGGGGGGGAGGCGGAAGAGACAGGCACCCTTTCCCTCCCGTGGGGGCATGGCACCGTAGCTTACTGCATAGTCCATTCACATTTCTGCCCAAAGCTACTGAGTTCCGAATTGAGTCATTGTGCCTCTGGGGCCATGGCCGTGCAGGAGAGCCATTCGTGGGGGGCAATTTGTGGTCTGTGGGGGCAAGAAGGGCAGTTGTGTCAGTTGTGGCCCCAAAATTTTAAAAAAATGTTATTTATGTTTGTTTACATTGAGTATATAGAGAGAACACTGAAGAATACATTTAAATATATAGAGAGAACACTGAAGAATACATTTAAACAGCACAGGAGTTTATGATATCAAAGGTAAGGTAAGGTAAGGTAAAGGCCCTCCCGTTGATCGTCGATTTGCTCGAGCGGGCCCAGTAACGTCTCCATTGGAGACTTTTGTTGTTACTGTGTTTGGCATATCGAATACTCTCGGTAGCTTGCCGGGATCTCCGAGAGGGGTGGAGGAATCAAACTCGGGTCGGCCATGTTGGCCGCATGTAAGGCGAAAGCCCTACCCGCTGTGCTATCGCTCCAGCCCCGCAAGCTACCGAGAGTATTCGATATGCCAGACACAGTAACAACAAAGTCTCCAATGGAGACGTTACTGGGCCTGCTCGAGCAAATCGACGATCAATGGGAGGGCCTTTACCTTTACCTTTACATTGAGTAGTTTGTTATATATCTCTGTATAGAATTGCATATATGCTTAATATTTGAGTTCATTCTTTGTCAATATGATTAACTAAAATATTAGCACTGTATCACTATAGCACTGCCCTCCCATTGTTCATCGATTTGCTCAAGCAGACACAGGTAATGTCTCCATTGTGAGACTCATTGTTACTGTTTTTGGCATATTGAATACATCATGGGTAGCTTGCCAGGCTTTGCTATACAGGCTGGTTACTCTCGGTAGCTTCCCGTGCTCTACGAGAGGGGCAGAGGAATCGAACCCTGGTCGGCCACGTGCAAAGCAAATGCCCTACCTGCTGTGCTATTGCTCCAGCCCAACTAAAATATTATTTAAATTAATCCTGAGGAGATAATGGTGGTTCATAACAATTTGATGCTGAAAGGATCTTTTTTTGGGTTTTTTTTTTTTTTGCTTTTTTGGGTCACACCCGGCGATGCACAGGGATTACTCCTGGCTTTGCACTCAGGAGTTACTCCTGGCGGTGCTCAAGGGAGCATATGGGATGCTGGGAATCGAACCCGGGTCGGCCATGTGCAAGGCAAACGCCCTACCCGCTGTGCTATCTCTCCAGCCCCATGAAAGAATCTTTAAATAAGAAATACATGTTGCTGTATCTTTAGGGGGGAAATTCCAAACTTCTAGGTCCATAAATGTATTTAATTTTTTAAACTTTATATTTTCAGGTATTCCAAATACCAGGAATTATAGGTGCTAAATTAAAACAGCAGCAGCAACGTGTAATTAGTGATCTATTGGTGCAGTAACATCGAAAGACTTCAGAAATTATGACTTCCCTTAACTTTGAACAAATTAGTTGAACAAATTTATCTCCATGTGTTTTCTAAATATTTTAAAATTACATTTATTTAAATACTATATAAATTTGGGCATCCATGTGTTTTAAGTGAACCAGACTAAGGCTAGTTTAAACAATAAGTGTACCTTCTAAGTAAGCTTGTATTGGTTATATTTTATCATTGAATTTAGGTATTTCTATTTATCTTGTAGAGTGTTTGGTAACATAGAGGATGACAGCCAGTGTTAGTCATGTGAGGCCTATCTTGAATGCCTGTATTGAAATCTCTTAGTAAATATTCACTAGTCTTATTTTCATACATATCAAGTTAAATAGCTATTCTACTACTGGATCTATGGAAATCTCCACTTTCATAAATAATGGGTTAAAATAATGGTAACTTCTATTTCATTATTAAACTAATACACCTCTTAGTGGCAAAGAGCAGGCTACTTTGAGCTGTGGAAAAAGATGCTTCCCCTAAGGAAGATGATACAGAAGAAGCTGATTTGCAGTCTCTGACCCACAATAAAGTGTATCTTCTAATGACATTAAATTGGATTCAATAAGTCTTACCTATTATTCGTCTTTTTAGAATTCTAGCATTATAGGAATTGGCATGTCTTCTCTAAATTAGTTTAATCAGTTATATATTTTTGAATGAATTCACTCTTTTCTTTCTTTTATTGAGTACATATTGTTAATTCTTCTTGTCTTCTTTTCACAAAGGACTATGATGCCTTCTTTGAAGCCAGAGAAAATAATGCAGTGTATGCTTTTTTAGGGCTTACAGCCCCACCTGGTTCAAAGGTATGATTAAAATTTTCCTCCCTTACATGATATTTTATTACTTCCTTTTTAAAATGAAAAAAATCTATCTTTATTAAATACTCAACCAGAGGTAGGACAACAAGGATAAAAGGAAATTCATCAGCTTTTTGTGTTCTTAATCCCTAATAAGACACAGTAATATGTATGTTCATATGCATGATCACATATATAAAGTATGTGGGTGTATGGTAGATCCTGTGCTTTCCTAATCAAGATGATAAAGGCAGCAATTTATCATTGATGAATTAAAATGACTTATTAGCAATTTTAATGACTACACTTTTCCAGTATTAATTTATGGTTCTACAATGACAGAAAAAATCTTAGTTCTTGATAGTCTTCTTGACACCAACTATTGTTTGTTCGCAAAAACAAATGCCAGCGCTATCATCTTCCCAAGTTCATTTGAGTTTTAAAACTTGTCACTAAATTTCTACTTAAAATTGGGGTTTTATATTTTACAACCATAAAATTTTATTTTAATTTAATTTTTAAATAACTTTTTAAGTTATTAGTTTAGTTACAGATACTCAATATTCCAACACCAATCCCACTACCACTGTTTCCAATTTTCCCATCCACCCCTTTAGCCTGCTGCCATAGCAGGCCCTTAATAATTTATTTTATGTTGCTTGTTATGAATAATTTGCTAAAATGCTGATAAAAATGTTTCCGTAGAGGAAAGTTAGTGAATATTGTTGTATCACACCATGGATCCCTTAAGGCCTTGTATAAGAGATTACTAAAATGTTGTGACAGATTAAGCCTTCTGTGCTTATAGTTTGTTAATCGAAATTGATTGTCTTCTAAATTGTATCTCATCAAATCTGGTGTGCTACTCCTACCAATACAATTTTAAGTTACATTTTTTCTAAGGGATGCCAGATAAAGAAAAGAAAGAAAATAAATGTGCATATTAAATTACATAAACAATATTTACATGAACAATATTTACATATACAGGGGTTCCAGTAAGTAAAGAGAGAGAAAAGGGCAACATTCTTATTTGATGATATGATAGCTGAAAAATCTCCCATCATGAGAAAAGTTTAGGCATTCAAATCCAGGATACACAAAAAAGTTAGAGAAAATTAATCCAAACAAACACATGCTGAGACACATTATAATTGAAATGGAAAAAAATAAGATCTGAAGAGAATCCTAAAAGTAGCAAGAGGGGGATATGATGTCACTAACAGGTCATCCTGTACCTGTGAGGCGAGTGCATCAGCAGCCTGATGGTGCCTTCAGGCTTTCTGACATTCCCAAATTGCTGCTATGCCTTTGACTGGACCCCAACAACTTGGGACCAAGTTTTCCAAGAAATTAAATGGCTAAAAGTTAGGTATGTGGGAGCCATGCTCACAAACCACCTCCAGCTCAGCTATATAAGCTCGTTTATTGGCCTTATCTAAGAGATCCATAGATAAATCTTGAAAGAGACCAAAAGCCACAGTTAATCTTAGACCTACACATGGCTGAACAGACTGGGGTAAATTGGAGGGGGGCAGGATGGCCTGTGCCTGCCCAGGCAAAGCCCTCAGCAGCTGTTTGCTTCCACAAACCAAAATTGCCGCCATAACCCTGGCCTGTCTCCACTGTCTCATTACAGACCTCACCAAGATATAATCTGCTGAAAATTTGGGTATGCGGGTTTTGTGACTGAAATCTCCAGACTTTCACGGAGTTGGGGTGGGCTACTTCTCCCCACTTCCCAATACACATAGAAGCACTAGCAGTCATCCCCACAAACCAATTTCATCACCACCTTATAAACTCTATTATTAGCCTTACTTTAGAGACCTATAAATAAATCTCAAAAAAGATCAAAAGTCAAAGACACAGCAGCGAACCCTGGAAGACAACAGAGAGCCAGCGATGTCTCTGGGCCCCATACCAAGCAAATTTCCCCAGGGCACTCCAGATGGAGTAGGTACAGTCTGCCTGCCTACTCTAGATGGAATCCCAGCGACCAAGGGCTTCCACAAACAAGGCTCAGGTATGTTGGTTCCAGGACTAAACCCCAGCATGCTCATCGACCTTGCTGTCATCCCCACAATGTGCCTCCGGGTGCCATCTCAGTGCGAAAACTGTCCTGGTCCAGAGATGCCTAATTGAATCCCAAAATGGATAAGTGCTCTACAGAAATGTCTCTGGAACCCAACCATTTACTATCTAGGATTCCAGAAGCACCTGGATGCGACACCCAAGATATTCAAAATGAGTAATGAACAGTAAATGATCTAGCATCTGACCCTGGCAGTCAGGTTTGAATGGCAGTGGGAAAATTTGAGCAAAATATAATATCCAAAAGGAGAGAGAGAGAGTATTGTGGAAATTGCCTACCATGGGTGCAGGGTGAGGGCTAGGATGGTGGGTTGGGATATTTTGGGCTCATGATGGTAGAAAGTGTGCACTGGTGGAGGGATGGGTGTTAGATCACTGTATGGCTGAGTTTCGAACATGTATCTCACGGTGGTTCAATTTTTTAAAAAAGTAATGTGAAGTTCATGGCCAATTCAAACAGCGTAATCAATGGCTGAATAAATAGCAGTACTCCTACATTTTAAAAAAAGCTGCAAGAGAAAAAGGCACACATAAGGGAAACCCATAAGATTATCTGAGATTTATGAAAAGTATTGTTCTAGAACTGAACCAAAAGGGAGAAACTTGATATAAAAAGTGTACTGAATGGAATAAACCTCCAACCAAGAATACTTAAGTGGGGTTATCATTCAGATTTTTAATGGATGAATGGAAAGCTTTTCAGGCAAACAAAAATGAAAGTAATTTATTGTCATTTAACTAGCTTTCCAAGAAACTTAAGTCACTTCTGTAAAAGAAACTCCACATGAGACACTATAGAGGTTAAGCAACTTGCCTTAACACGCTACCACCCCAGATTCAATTACTATCACGGCATAGGGTGCCCAAATCACCACTAGGAGTGATCCTTAAGCAAAGAGTCAGAAAGAAGCACTGAGCATAGTCTAGTGTGACTCCATACCAACAAAAATAAACCATATGTAATTGTGTAGCAAGATACGAAATAACAACAATTGCCACTACCATAAAATGTGGAAGAAAAGAAGAGTGATAATGGAGACACTTAAAAATGATCTTAAAATTCGCCCAATTTAAAATGAACTATAACCTTAAGTCACATGGCTATAACCTTAACACACACATAAACCACATGATAATCTCAAAACAAAAATACTTAGACGAAAACAAACCAGAGAAGCTAAATGGAACCTGATCACTACATAATAGACAAATACCAAAGTAGAAGGGAAGACTTACAACAAATATATGCTGCAATAGCGCCCAGAGTGCACGTAGACAAAATGGCAGTAAATTCTTTTCTGTCAATAATTTCATTGAACAATAGTAGTCTGGTCTATGAAGAGGACAAAAAGGACTGGAGCACATGCTTTGTAAATAGAAGCTCAGGGTTTGTTTGATCCTTGGAATTGTCACTGTCAGGTATGTCACCTCACCCCCCCAAAAAGCTCAGGGTTTGTTTGATCCTTGGAATTGTCACTAGCAGGTGTGTCACTTCACCCGCCCAAAAAAACTCCACAAATAAACAGGCAAAATTTACATAGCCTGAAGTTACCAATCTAATGTCCCAGAGTGAAGGGGTGGAACAGAGAATTGAAACCAACCTCACCTGTGCTATCTACAAGAGATTTATTTGAACTCAGTAATAACAATAGGCTCGAAATAAAGTGTTGGGAAAAATCATACAGGTAAATTCCAGCCTTATAACAAGGCAATGGCAAAAGCATGGAGATGGTTCAAAGGGCTGTAGCTCATGTTTTGTGTGCAGGAACCCATATTGTGATCTCTAGCACTACATGGCACTCAAACACCACCTGGAATCACCGTTATCACCATTGGGTTTGGCAAAAAAATGAAGAAAGGGGAAGCCATACTTAGATAAAAATAGGCTACAAATGAAATATTATAATAAGATACAGGGACAGGTAATTTATGGTTCACAATTAATTTATCAAGTGTACTTAATACTCGGTAATATGTATACACCAAATAAAGTGACATCAAAAATTGGAAATCAACTATTATCAGGCCAGTGAGATACTGACAGTAACACAATAGTAGAAGGGGAATTTAATACCCCACTCAGCAATGAAGAAATCTATCATACAGAAGATCAATAAAGAAACAATAGTTTTAATTGAGAATTTGGGGCAGATATGCTTAAAATATATTTATAATGCTCTTAACCTCAGAAAAGGATTAATATGCATTCTTCTCAAGTGCAAATAGAACTTTCCTAAAGATAGATCACATGTCATTACACAAAAAAATGTTGATAAAGTATTGAAAATTGAAATCATATCAACACTCATATATATATATACATATACATTTTAAGATGAAGTGCTAGAGGCTGTAAGAAAAGATGAAATCATGCAATATGACTCTATATACATGAATCTGAAGAGGGTGTGTGTAGCTAGAAGGAGTAAGAAAATAATTTCTCTCATACGTGGGATATAAAGAAAAATGGTAGGGGAGTAATAGATACACAAAGGAAATAGAAACTGAGAACTAGTATCCAGTTGGAAGGTTACCACAGAGGAGAATGGAAAAGTGGTAAAGGGAGTGGGGTGGTTGAAGAATGGGAGGAACTCTGGAATGAAGGCGGAGGGAAATGGACACTCTTGTGGTGTCGGAATTTTTGGCAAATAAATGGCAACATTGTACGCCATGATGATTCAAATAAAGTGGAAGAATGTAATAAAGTATCAAAGAAAAAATGTTAAAAGCTTCTTCAAACACAAAAATGCAAGGGAGACATTTTACTAGTGAGTTGGCCAAACCTTCAGGATGATCTGTTGCATAGCCATCACAAGCATTTCCAAAATTTAAAGAGATTGAACGTTTTCTGAATACCTTTTATGAAGCCAACAGTGCACTCATACCAAAGCAGATATTAACACCATTATGAA